TTAAGTCCCCGTTCGGACGGAGTCCAAAAAACCGGGACTTGTGTTTTGACCTCTGTGCGCCTGTTCGTGCGTCCGGACCTGTATCTTAGAAATGCCTGGACCAATCACAATCAAACTTCACACATACATCATACATGATATTATACATATGCACGTCAATTTGTTTCTTGATCTGATTCAAGATGGCCAAATGGCAGCCATTTTTGTGCTAAAAATTATCAAAATCAAGCATTTTTCGGCTGTTTACAGATGGATTTTGTTTGAAATTGGTATATACGTTGGACATTATAGGACCTTGATGTACATCATTTTGTTTTTCAGATACATGTAAGATTCAAAATGGCCGACTGGCAGCCATTTTGTTTTAATGAATGTGGTTCTAGTGCCATATCTCTGACTTGCTTAAACTGATTATGTTAAAATTTTAAATATTCATTATACATGTATACAAAATGGCTGATTTTGTTTTAATTATTGCTGTTCCAGAGCAATATCTCTCAATCATCGTTTGATGATCAGATACAAATGTCAATCATTTTAATGTTAAACAATCATAATCATATTGCTGACATGTTTATGTTCCAGCTATATTGCTATAAACAAAACTATATATCTTAAATTCGATAACTAACGGGGACTGTGCCATGCATGGCTTGTTATTATACATCTTTTCCTTCCAAGGATACACCATGGGAATGCCAAAATCCAAAATGTTTAAAACAGAATCAGCGACTGGAACTTCTTTGTGTTGAATCCGTTCAAACTCTGGTGGCAGCCTCATGTTTGTTTTTAATATTAGAGAACGGTTACGTGCGTAATCATTCCATATTTGGAATTCGCATTTTCTAATATGGTAGGATGAAAATACCCCTAAAATACCGCAAAACTACGGCGCAAAATTATGGCGTTGCGGTGACAGATATCATTTATTACCGTATGACCATAGACATACCTCTATTAATCACATAAAAATGCATGCACTACTACTGGTAATAGAGCAAATGTGGTACATGTATATGTGAATTTAGATGTGTGACTATTGTTAAATTGTGCTGTTTTGTCATGTTTGAAAGCTCTTGAATAAATGAATGAATTGTGTGATATTTCCTGTTCATCAGTTGTGCATGTTCAAATGCATTTATGTGTGGTGGTGTGTAACAAGTGCTTTTATTGGCATTTATAGCAATTGATGTTATAAATGTAATAATAAAAAGCTATAAACAAAATAAACTATTTTAAATGTGGAGACAAATCAGACAACACTACCCCGGTATATAAGATTGAGTTGATCAGTCAAACATCATATCACTCCCTCACACATATATATATATTTCCTACCTATATTTTGGTGTGAAATTTTTCATCTTTTTTTTTTTTTTATATGAGTTTAGTTTTTTACCAAATGAATATAATTTTGTATATTGGTATCAGGTCTTGATAAAAATAAAAAATTATGCAGGTTGATTTTGTAATTAGAGCTTGTGTCCGCTGTTCACTAAATACCTTATGTAGATCAGTTGAACAGTTAGACACAATCGGTTAATTAATAAACTCCACAATTAAGTTTTACTGTTACATATGATAGACATTCATAATAGTTTACATGTCTTATTACATACTCTACATGCTTCTATAGATAATGACAAATCATACAGTAAGTACGGTGACTAGAGATGAAGTCACACAACAAGTTTACTTTATTCTGTGTGACAAACTAAACACTGCATGTATACGCAGCTCAGTCATATGTATTCATTGATTTGCTAAAAAAAATTATGCATGCATCTATTTCTTCAGGTGCTAGTGTTAACAAAGCATATTATGGAAACTGTTTTTGATATTTTTTTTAAATCTGTCTTAATTTTTCCTGGGTGGATTTTGCACTGAATTTCCTAAATAAATACCCTGAGGCTTGACCCCCACATGTATTTTCCCAGAGTTAGCTTTCATTCAGTTGTGTGCTGTGTTGTACTAAGTATTGATCATCTCTCTCTCTCTCTCTCTCTCGCTCGCTCTCGCTTCGCTCTCGCTCTCGCTCTCGCTCTCGCTCTCGCTCTCGCTCTCGCTCTCGCTCTCGCTCTCGCTCTCGCTCTCGCTCTCGCTCTCGCTCTCGCTCTCGCTCTCTCTGGCTCTCGCTTCTCTGGCTCTCGCTCTCGCTCACTCGCTCGCTCGCTCTCGCTCTCTCTCTCTTTATTATTGTTCATGTACATTCCCTTCTCAATTCAGACAATGAATCATCAACCAGTAAGTATCTATACTCCATGGTACATGTATGTAATGATTCCGTGCAATGTACCATCCATTAGGTAATAGTGTGTGGTATTCCTTCCTGCACGATTACCCAGTATGATGTCATATTTCCATTGCTATACATCTATGTGTGTGATCCCTGTCTTAGTAGAAAGTTCTAACATGCGTCATTCTGTTTGAAGAGATTTGCACTGAATTAAAAATTTAATCCAAGTTTTATCATATTTCTATTTATACATGTATATGGGTACATGAAAAAGTCATGGTGTATGCGTTAGAAGTGCACATAAACCCAAAATAGCATTCATTGTTTGCTGAATCATTAAAATATGACCTATTTAGACATTTATGCAAGCGCATGAACTACTAATAGAACAAAATTTCATTTTCTACACTCTATATTGATATTATTAGAATAAAGAACGGTCTGTAGTAATATTTGAGGCACAATTAGAGATCATCATCCTTTTAAATACATTATTATACATCTTATTATTGTTATAAATCCTATAAATTTTCAAAGAATTCAATTTTAATGATTTTCCAATGAAATGACATTATTCCATCATATAGCAGGAATTCCCTTTCATAAAACTTGCCATGTGTTCATTAACATTCTCAGTTGGAGCAAAACTTAAATCAAGCTCTCATGCTGCTGAAATGACAGTTTGAGTAGCTTCTGTAAAAACTATTATACCCCATATTAGTTCTAAATTCAAGTTCCTTCCAGTAGACGTTTCTTTTGGCAAACCAATTGAAAAGTAAAATTCTTAATACTTCTTCTAATATACAGTATATTTCATCTCCTAGATAACGTGATCAAAGTATGGCGAGTGTTTCCATTTTCTCAAGAGTCTCTGGCCCCCTTGATGTCTTTCTACTGTGCCAATACTCCACTACACATGTCTGTTATGAGAGGTAACCTAATGGTTGCATTTCAAGAAGCATCCTCTGCCACTTATAGCATTGTCAAGTATGATATACTGTCCAAGAGTAAGTATACATAATCTAGTAGTGTACTGTGAACACATTAATTATTCGCTCGTTTTTAATTTCAAAATTTTTCACTGATAAGTAAAATTCACTGAATTAAATTCCTGTGAACATGTAAAATAGAATTGTTTCTCTGCCAAGTCTGCGAACTTAAAACCCAGAATTGCTTGAAGCATCGAAATAATGAAATTAAACACCAATGACAATAATGGCAGATCTACAAAGCTACAATGTATATGTCATCACACTTGTTCTCATTTTGTGTGCTTGCGCAATGATGGGTTGGGAAAAACTTTCCATTCACATCTGAAGATAAAATAACAGTATTGTTTATTTGTACAGACAATGTTGTCACAGCAGATTGCAAACTAGTACTGATCAGTGAGTGACATTTGTTACCAGACATTTGCATGCTGGTTGACAAAAATGTAAACACATGTCTGGTGGATCAGTGCTGCAGAATTTAATAACAATTTTAGTGGAGATATTTTCATGTGACCTTATAGAAAAATCAACGTTTTGTTTGTCACAGAACATTAAAAATTGAAATTGTTTCTGGTCAAGACAGATGATGGAAGTTGTTTCATAAAATACTTAACAGATTCAGATATCATTGTTAATGAGCCTATAGTGGAAAAGCCTAACATTAGGACTGTGTGGTTACTGTAAACCACTTGACTTGAAATTTTGTAGCAGTGAAAATTTCTCTGGGGTCCTACAACATAGAGTGTCAGTGTCTTTTGCAAAATTTTGTCTTCACAAAAGCCATAAAATCATCAATTATTGTTACATTTACAGGTCGTTTTGATCACAGTCCGGATGAGGACCATATAGATGATGTGAATGCAATGAGTTGCTGTGCACGTATGCGAATTACAGCATCAGCCAGCAGTGATGGCACTGTCAGAATATGGAATGAAGCTAACAGACTCATAAGGTAGATATAATAGATAACTCAGTTTATATATAATACTTAATCTTAGATCAATCCCCAGTAAATTGTTAAGACTTCATTCACACTCTCAGCTGACTTCATTCACGCTCTCAGCGATGTGCTACATTCATCTAAAAACTGCATATCAAGGATGAGCTTAATTAAATCTAAACTTTGACAAGCATTGCACTCACTAGTAACTATTTGCATTTATGTGAGGTATTATGAGGTTATCATATGTTATCACTTGTAGAGCTGGTTGATACAAGTGATGTCATGAGTTAGTGTTATTGACATACGTAAGCTAGAAAAATTGCTAAAAAATCAGCCATATTAAAAAGTAGATGTCTTCCATGACCTTTTCATACATTTCATTTTGATTAAACTGAAGGTTCTTACATGTATTCCTACAAAAAATACCTACATGTACAATGTATTAAGTTAACTGGATTTAAGGGCAAACAAGGCCTCCTAACTCAGTGTCTAATATTTACAATTCTAGCACTGCAGGTAATTTCCTATTACCCATCCACACCACAATTTATGGTGTATATATTGGTCAGGAAGATGATTTGCTTGCAAAGTGGAAATGTAACATTAATTTCATTTGAAATCTTTGACACAAAGTCACAGTGACCTTCAAAAAAAATGCACTTGAAACATTAAAAATTGATATCAGCGAAAAAAAATATGGTTTACAATTAATGTTATTATTGATATTTTGTTACCAGATTGATGTTTGCTGCACATCGGTTTATACTCTTGACTGTTTTGCAGTCTCCTTGTAATATCTACGCAGTACAAATAATATATCTTTTGTAAACATTTTTATATTGCGTTTTTGCATATGGTGATAAATATTATTATCTCTCTAATTTCAGGATCATTAAACTGAATGCGACCCCATTAAGTGTGTGCTTCTGTAGCCAGAAAGGTGATTTGTTGGTTGGTATTGGTAAACATTTACATAAGATAGAACATCAGAAATGTAAGTACTGCAGCAGTTATTATCATTTCAATTAATGTTCACACAAAAACTAGGTCTGTTTTACATTACAGTGAATTTCATGAAGGCATGAATGTTTTTTATATAAAATATTTATAAATGTATTATTATAAATTTCAAATGATTACTTCAGTTCAGTTAATTTTATTTAATCTTGGTAGCCCCTTAAGTAGCTAGTATTTTTTACAAGGAGGCCAAGAGATGGTTGAAAGCAACTCACAATATCTTAGTGAATGCTTACCATTTTTATATAATAAAATAATAGTAAATCTTCCAAAAATTGAAAGAAACCCACACCAAATCCATTCTCTGAACCTCTTTCCATAGTTCTTTGAGCATATATATATTACGGTGGCCCATATATACAATTGGTCCGCTACATGAAAGTCAGTCGGCTATTTGAAAATTGCTCCGCTACATGAAAATCGGTCGGCTACTTGAAAATTGCTCGGCTACTTGAAAACTGCTCTGCTACATGAAAATCGCTCCACTACTTGAAAAATTCGGTCGGCTACTTGAAAATCGCGTCGCTATATATATATATATATATATATATCCTCTATCTAGAACATCGCGTGTATGTGGCGAGGTAACCTTCGACCTGCAGATATGACCCGGAAGTACAACATGCAATGTATACCATTGCTTGTGTATGCTTACGAAGTCGGGTAAACAACGTATTCATCTGTTTGTTAAATAAAATGAAGTCAATCAACCTGTATACTTGAAACATCATATTTGCATGTGTTGATTGTATTAGCATGCTGACTCTAGGCTTTGAATGTAAACAGGTTACACGTCAGTGCGCCATTCTAACCCTATACAACCACAAATTGTTACAACTCGTTACTAAAATCTACTGTACCGTGTATCACGTTTACATCACTACAAATTAGTTTCATGGCTTTACTACTACTAAGTTTAGCTTTTATTCACCTATAAAACGAGCGTCTTGCTGTCAACATATATCAGAGGGTGGGCGAGGGGGATAGCTGATACAGGTTACAAAAAATTAAAAAGGCATTTACGTTTTTACAAGAAATAAAATGAAAATTCATGTATAGTGAAAATGGGTTTTTACACTTTACAAGATAAAACAAATTCATAATTACATTTTACAGTTATTTTCATAAATTTGATTTAAGAGCCAAAGAATATCACACATAGAATAACCTCCGGTGAATGCGTTCTGCTGTGACAAATCTCATGGGTTTGTGTGACGCATATGCGCGAATCAGGCCAGGAATTAATGTCGAACGTTAACGTGCGGTTTGATATATTTTCCGGTGTTCTACTAAGAACAATGCTTGACGAGGACACTTGCACACCGCATTAAATAAAGTGTAGATAACATTGCGTACATGTCATTGTAAAAGTCAGAATATTTAGAACATCGTGTTAACTTCGAACGTCACGCTAAATCGCTCATTGTTTTAGCAAATGAGCATACAAATTAAATATGCATATAATAATAATAATAATAATAATAATAATAATTCACTAAACAAACTACAGTGAGTTGTTCAAATTCTATAGTCGTATAAAATAATAATCATGATATAATCTGTACAGATATAGAGGTAAGAAATGGATCTTTTGACAAGTTATTAAAATAATATTATAGTGACAAATAAAAATCTGATGCCAGACAAAACATCAGAAATATAATATACGAGGCGAAACAATGATCATCATTGTCTGTTGTAAGGATTAGCAATTGTTTAATTTCATTATGTTATTGACGAAATAACTATAAATTTGTATTTGCGACTTGAATACTAATAATTTTTACTGAATACTAATAATAATATACTACTACCTTGAATGGGTCTCTCTCAGATTTTGTGTCAATATTGTATTTTTTTTAATATTTTGGGTCATTTATGTCAAAACTGCTATTTCCGACGACTTCTTGAAAACTACCAGCTCAATTCATTTGATACATGTTATGTAGGTATCTTGTGTTAATCTCTATTAGATATGTTCTTTTTGTGACGATATCAACTATTCTCAATTCTTAGCAATTATTTTTCCATGTTTTGAAAAATGAAATTATACGTGAGCATGCTTGACATGTATATGGAATCATCAATAAGAGGAAACTAAGAAGAGAAA